ATTTACAGTTTTGGACACCGGAAAGGTAAACCCTCAGGAGTATATTATTCATTAAATCATTTCTCTTATTTTTTCCCGCCTTACCTCTCTCATCACCCACCTCTCTCCATCTGAGAAGTAACTTCACTGGGGGAGACTCCTATCATTAGCTGGTGTGAAGGTTTAAAGAGATTGCCGTGCTATCCATTTATTGTTCTGTGCCCTTGTTTAGCTGCAGTCAGAGAACTAAATTAATCATACAATTCCCAGGCTAAGCAATTTATCAGTACTTTATCATCCATCAAAGCAGCTGTTTCTCTTCTAAACAGCACAGCCATCACCTCTTTCCTTTCTTACTTGTGTTTTTGAAAATGGTGGCTGCCTCAAAATCTCCATTTCGCCATCTATTTCTCTTTATCCATGTCTCCTGTTTGAGGGCCTCCTCTCCAGTGTCCTCCTAATCTGTCCCCAGAGGAACTCTGTCTTTCTCTGGCAAGCTTTCTGCCTTGCTGGATATTGCTTCAGTTATCTCATAAAAATTATAATAGTGGCAGCCTTTATTTATGTGCTCAGCACCTGACATATACCACCTGTGATCCTTTCTGCTTTCTTTTCACAAATTAACAGGAGATGAGAATCGTCGATGTCATCGGCCTACCCATGGCCCACAGCTAACAAACGTCAAACTCAGAATTTGAGCCAGGTCTTTCTGGGTCCAGATCTTTTGCTATTTGTTCTTTCACGTTGCTTCTTGAAGGCTGCTTGCTTCCTGAAGGTTTGTGTGCCTTTCACTCATAGAATGGACTGTCAACTAAAATACCCAGGCCACAAACAGCATAAGCATGAACCTCTCCAACTCACGTGCTAATCACTGTGCCGGCGAGTCCCTCGCCAGGTCCCTACAGATTTCCGATTCCTGCTTTATTAATGAAGCGAAGTTCATCTTGTCAAACCTCGGTCACAGCTGGACATGATGAGAAAGCTTTGATTGCAAGACTTCTACTGATGGCGAAAGCTAAACGGAGTCAGCAGTTTGCCCTTCTGGACTAAAACTGAGAAATATCTGTGATGAGAATAATAAAGCACAACCTTCCTACAGTTTCCAAGCTGCACCAGAGACCCCTGAGGAGCTATGGCCCAAAGGCAGAGCGGGCCAGGGACCCAGACCCCAAGGCAGCGTGTCTGCTGCCTGCTTACTGAGCACTTAGCCACCCTTCTTTGCAATCGCCCTTCACTTTGGAACCAAATAACCAATTTTTAAGGGGGAAAAAATGATAGATACTATGCACCTAAGTTGAGCTTCTTTCTGGTTAAGTTGTAGCTGTGATTGAATTAGGCACTGTCATTTCCATGTTAGACGCATTCAGGGCCAGATTCAGGGATTTCAGCAATAAAAACGTTTTCCTAAACCATGACAGAAATAGGATGCCAGTGTTCTCCTTATCTAACTAGTGATGTGTAGATTGAACAAACACTGCCGGAAAAGACTGCACTCTCCAGTGGAATTTTTAAAAAAAAAAGCTTACTCTTTACCATCAATTTAAAATAAACAAATGCACAGAGTGTGTAATAAACATTTATCTTGAACATAAAGAGCCATATAATTGTAATAGGAAAAGTATTTGAAAAATATCATTTTAAGAAGTGTAAAACCATTAATCTGCCTAGGGAACTCACACATTTTGACCCAGTGACAGACATATATGAGGGAACCAGAAATTCCAGGTTTTGTTACTGCTATTAAACTTGCCCTCTCAGCGAATGACCAGGTCCCATCCACGTGACAAAGGCTAGAAGTCATCTTTGCCTCTTTCTCTCCTCGCAGCCAATCCTCAACTAAAGCATTTCTATTGTGCTTCAAAACCTCTCTGGATCTGCCCGTTTCCCCGAGCCTACTGCTATGGCCCTGATCGGGAGCACTTTTATTCTGGCTTGAATGAATGCAACAGCTCTGAGTTTCCAACTTTTCCCTCCTGCAAGTCTATTTTTCTTGCTGCAGTCAGATTACTCTTCCCCAAATGTAAATATGATCATATCACTCTTTTCATAAAACACTTTAATGGCCGGTCATTGCCCTCAGGGTGAAGTGCACGCAGCTTATCACAGTTTCCACACCCCTCGTGAATCATTCCCCTAATTAGCGCTTTGGCCTGTACCCTCTCCTGCTCCTGCTCCAGCTGACTATACAGCATATTCTCAGTTATTTCCATGTCTGCGCCCACTGTCCACTCTGCCTAGAATACACGCCTCGTTCCACCAAGATCGGGGGGAGGGATAAATGGAAATATACTGGTGTGGGGCTACTATGTATTTTACATGAAGCAATTTGATAACTAAGTAGATTGTAGTAAATTAAAGATGTATACCATAATCCCCAGACCACCAAATAATGTAAATAAATATATAGGAAATGAAAACAGAAATTTAAATGTAATGCTAAAATATAATAATTGATTAAAACAAGACAATAAGAGAGAAAGGAAAAAATTCAAGCAACAAATAGCCAAATGGCATACCTAAATGCAACTATATTAGTAGTTATATTCCGTTTAAATGGACAGAGCAATCCAACAAAAGGCAGAGATTGCAAAAATCATTAGACTGACTCAAAAGCAAAAGCTAGCCACTTGCTGTCTATAAGAGGAGCTGTTTAACTACAAAGACACATAGGTTGAAAGTAAAAGGATGGAAAAAGGTATACCATGGAAACATGAAGCCGCTCAAGTGGCTGTATTAATCATTCAAGGGGACCTGAAGACAAGGACTAGTACTAGGCACAAAGATGGACTCTTTATAGCGATAAAAGATCAATACATCAGAAACTGAACATGTGCTTAATAGTTGAGCTTCAAAACCCATGAAACAAAAACCTATGACACTTAGGGAAATAGACAAACTTACATTCATAGTTGGAGATTTTAACAGGTATTTCTCAGTAGTTGATAGAATGAATATCTTTGGAAAAGTTAATAAGGATTTGGAAAATCTGGACAACACCATCAACCCTATTAACCTTAATGACTTTTACAGACCATTGCATCCCAGACAGCAACTACACCTCTATTTCAAGTGCACATGGAGTAGTCACCAAGATTGGTTTCATATTGGTCCATAAAACAATCTCAGTAGATTTCAAACGATTGAAATTTTGCAGAGTATGTTCTCTGACCACAACAGAATTAAATTATAAATAAAAAAGACTCTAGAAAAGACCTAAATACTCAGAAATAAGGTAACTCGGTTCCAAACCATCCATGATTCAAAAAAGTAAGCACAAATTAGAAAAATGTTTTGGCTAGAATGGTAATCTTTAAATATATATTAAAATTTGTGAAATGCAGTAAAGCAAAGCATGGGGGATATTTGGAGCTTTAAAAGCTTGTATTAGAGAAACAAGGTCTAAAATCAGTGAAATAGGTTCTGCCATAGGGAAATAAGTAAATGAAAAGAGCAAATTGAACCCAGAAGAACCTGTATCAAATATAGGTGTATATTGAATTATTTCCTTATGATACGCCTCTAGGGGAAAAAAAGGTCATGAGACTTACCCACGTTTGGAGGTGATGGATATAATATTGCGTAAACTGTGTTGATGACTTCACAGGTGTGTATATTTATCTCCAAACTCAAGTTGTATGCCAATCATACCTCAATAAAGTGGTTATAACAAATTTTTAAAAATTAACAAAGACAAAAAATGATTCAAAGAGATGAACATGTTGAACGTTGATATATTTAAATTTAATATATTAATTAGCCTCCTCATTGTTGTATCTGAACCTCCAGAAGGCTGTACCAGTTTTACATTCCTTCCATCGGTCCCTGCTGCCCTTGTTAATTCTAAGTAAAAATGATTATTGAACTTTGCCCATCTGACAGGTAAAAGTGATATACCGGTTGTTTTAATTTGCATTTTTTTGCTTCTTAGTGAAGTTTGTGATCTTTTCAGATATTTATCAGCTGCTTTTAGTTGTTATTACATTCACCTCTTCTCCTTAATAAGAGCCATTTATTTAGTAGTATCTTTAATCTCTTATGTATTATGAGTCTAAAATATAGTCTCCAGTTTAGCAACTGCCTTTGTGTGTGTGTGTTGTTTGCTTGCTTGTTATACTATTATTTTTTAAATGAATAAAATTGAAAAGATGGTTGCTTTCTCTCATGATTGCTAGCTTTAGTCATAGAAAATGCTTTCCAACGCTATTAAAAAAATTATTTTTTCTAATACATTATTTTTTCTTGCATTTTAATTCTTAATTTACCTGGAATTTACTGGAATTTGTTTTATTAAAGTTTATGTGCAGATCTTTCTATTAAAATATATAGTATATCCCCTTTTAGGTAGGTTCTGCCCTATTCTGTGTATTTCTTATTAAATTTATTCTAAGGAATTTTTTTCAGAGAGGCTGTTACTGAAATAATTTTGACAATAATATTTTCTGTGTTTTATATATAAAATTATATTTTATAATGTTAATTTACTTAATTCTCCTATTCTAATTTTTCAGTTGATTTCCTTTGGTTTTCAAGACAAGACATTAATTTGATCTATGAACAATAATAGTTTTACCACATCTTTTTCAATAATTATAATTCTCATGTTATTATATAATTGATTTTGCCAGCACTTTCTATGCCTTCACCTTGTTTCTACATTTTTCTTTAGATGTAGATAGATATAGCTGCACATAGACATATATGTAAACACCGATTAGAGAACTATACTCTTACTAATTGTTCTTTTATAATTCAGGAGTAAAACTGAAGTTCATCAAATACTTTTTTTATCTGAAAATATTGTTTTAAACTTCCCTTGTGAGAGAAGGTGTCTGTGGCTGAAGTGCAGGGAGGCGCAGTAACTTATCCAAGACCCGCGGCTGCTGCCGGAGGCCCCGGGGTTGCGGTTGGGAGGCGCGGGGGCCGAGCCAGGGCCCCCCCACTGTGCCGTTGCCTTGCTGGCGCCCCTTTACCTTCCCACGTCCTGACCCCTCTTTCCGTCTTCTCTGTCTGCCCCCCCGCAGGCCCGTGACCGAGCTGCCGAGCAAGAGGGGGAGTCATGCTTCACACGGCCATGCCATGCTGGCAGCCGTTCCTGGGTCTGGCCGTGGCCTTGGTCTTCATGGGGCCCACCCTCGGCTGCCCTGCTCGCTGCGAGTGCTCTGCCCAGAACAAGTCCGTCAGCTGCCACAGGAGGCGACTGGTCGCCATCCCCGAGGGCATTCCCATCGAGACCAAAATCTTGGACCTCAGCAAGAACAGGCTGAAAAGCATCAACCCGGAGGAATTCGTGTCATACCCTCTGCTGGAGGAGATAGACCTGAGTGACAACATCATCGCCAATGTGGAGCCAGGCGCGTTTAACAACCTCTTCAACCTGCGCTCCCTCCGCCTGAAAGGCAACCGCCTGAAGTTGGTCCCCTTGGGGGTGTTCGCGGGGCTGTCCAACCTCACCAAGCTTGACATTAGTGAGAATAAGATTGTCATCTTACTGGACTACATGTTCCAGGATCTGCATAGCCTGAAGTCTCTGGAAGTGGGGGACAATGACCTGGTTTATATATCACACAGGGCCTTCAGTGGGCTGCTCAGCTTGGAGCAGCTCACCCTGGAGAAATGCAACCTAACAGCAGTACCAACAGAAGCCCTCTCCCACCTCCGCAGCCTCCTGAGCCTGCACCTGAAGCATCTCAATATCAACACTATGCCTGTGTATGCCTTTAAAAGATTGTTCCACCTGAAACACCTAGAGATTGACTATTGGCCTCTCCTGGACATGATGCCTGCCAATAGCCTCTACGGTCTCAACCTCACCTCTCTCTCAATCACCAACACCAACCTGTCCACAGTACCCTTCCTTGCCTTTAAACACCTGGTCTATCTCACCCACCTGAACCTCTCCTACAACCCCATCAGCACTGTTGAAGCAGGGATGTTCTCTGACCTGATCCGCCTTCAGGAGCTTCATATAGTGGGGGCCCAGCTCCGCACCATTGAGCCTCACTCCTTCCAAGGGCTCCACTTCCTTCGCGTGCTCAATGTGTCTCAGAACCTACTGGAAACTTTGGAAGAGAATGTCTTCTCCTCCCCTAGGGCTTTGGAGGTCCTGAGCATTAACAACAACCCACTGGCCTGCGACTGCCGTCTCCTCTGGATCCTGCAGCGGCACCCCACTCTGGAGTTTGGTGGCCAGCAGCCCATGTGCGCTGGCCCCGACACCATCCGCGAGAGGTCATTCAAGGATTTCCATAGCACTGCCCTTTCTTTTTACTTTACCTGCAAAAAACCTAAAATCCGTGAAAAGAAGTTGCAACATCTGCTGGTGGACGAAGGGCAGACGGTCCAGCTAGAATGCAACGCTGACGGGGACCCTCAGCCTGTGATTTCCTGGGTGACACCTCGAAGGCGTTTCATCACCACCAAGTCCAATGGAAGAGCCACCGTGTTGGGTGACGGCACCTTGGAAATCCGCTTTGCCCAGGATCAAGACAGTGGGATGTATGTTTGCATTGCCAGCAACGCTGCTGGGAACGACACCTTCACAGCCTCCCTCACTGTGAAAGGCTTCACCTCAGACCGCTTCCTCTATGCCAACAGGACCCCTATGTACATGACCGACTCCAACGACACCATTTCCAATGGCACCAACGCCAACACTTTCTCCCTGGACCTTAAAACAATACTGGTGTCTACAGCCATGGGCTGTTTCACATTCCTGGGAGTGGTTTTATTTTGTTTCCTCCTCCTCTTTGTGTGGAGCCGAGGGAAAGGCAAGCACAAAAACAGCATTGACCTTGAGTACGTGCCCCGGAAAAACAATGGTGCTGTTGTGGAAGGGGAGGTGGCTGGACCCAGGAGGTTCAACATGAAAATGATTTGAGGGTCTACCACTCACCCTTGCATCTGTGTCATCGTCGGTAACCGGTAGGACAACCTGGCACAGTCATCACTAGCTTAGTGCAGCTGCCCCTGTGTCAAAGCAGGGCCTGGGAAGCAGGACGACTGCTTCTTGGAGACTCTCCACCTAGAGGCAGGCGGGCGTGTGTCAAAGCCCTTCACACAGTGGGATACTAATTGTTTGCATTGCAAATATTGGCATTCTGGGGATCTCAGTAAGGAACCTGAACCTTTGGCTCATGCTCATGGATGGTTATTCAACATTTTCTACCACTGCAGAAACAAACGAAGAAATTAAAAGGAACAACCTACAATGTAGGATTTACATATTAAAAAGACACATTTGTCTAAATATACTCTACAGAAAAATTTGTATCTATGATTACCCCTTATTAAACCCTTGCATCATACCATACTGTTGGTTCGACACCACAAAGAAATCAATATATTCTTTACTCTTCCTTTTTTTTTTTGAAACATATATGCTGTCTATGTTTTAAAGCAATATGAATGAGAGGTTATGCTTTGAGTTACCACTATAGATCCAAGTGTGATTTCACCTTCCTTTACATACAGGTAGCCCTGAGGCTAGATCCCCGGAGCTGTGGGCGGGCGGAGACATGTTGAAAGATGCATTTGTCCCATGCAGGACCAGCCAAGAAACAGGACCCCAGGCAAAACTGCTCAACTCTGTTAACTTCTGTTACTATAAATAAAGGCATGTGCCTAGTTTTGATACAGAATGGAATATTTTTTATACTTGTGATCTCACACTGGACCAGTTTACTGTAACAAAGCCCTTGGTTTCTCCAGAAGGTGGTAGACCACTAGTTGTACCTGTAAAATGCAAGGTAGGTGGTAAGAATGAAAATGACCCATTGAAAGACAACTTGATTTTACTTCTATCAGTTGCTACTAATGGGTTAATAGAAGATGAAAGGGGATGTGATTGTTATATAGTATACTCATGGGGTAATAGTCGCCTCGTAGCTAAGGTCAAGAATTCAGATGTTCAAAAGCTCTCTGGATAGAGTTCTTCTCAGATGCCAGCACCAACCAGGGTGACCCATGCATAACATGATGTTAATAAGAATCTGTTGAAAACGATGGTAGCTGTCTGAAGACTGGATTGTTGCCAAAGGAAACATCTAGGCACCCTGATGATGTCTATTCAAGTACTCGAGACAAAATACTACTTTGAATGGGCAACGTCAGGGTTTGTCCCTCCTTCCTTCCTAAGTAGATAATTGGTTTTTATTTTGAAAAGTATCCTGTGTAGACCAAGAGGAATCTGTCGTGTTTTTAAAGATGTGAGGAAAAGGTGGATTAAAAAGTACTTATCAAATTTTTTCCTCAAATTAGGAAAAATTAAGATAATACCCCTATAGATATGTTAAATTGTGCTGGCACTTTTACCCCACTAACCCAAGGATATTGCCTATTCAATTTGTATTAATGATTGTTACTCAAAGTTAAAATATTGTAGTTTTTTGCATGTGTGTTGTTTTTTTTTAATGGTATCATGCCATTGCCACTAGTGATCTGGTTCAAAGCAGTTATAATTCCATTTGGCTAAATGTTGAGTGAATGGGTTTTCAAAGCATATATTTATATGACCTGAGAAAGCATTGGATATAGAGTGGATTCATGAATGGGATATATTTAATCACAGAACAGAGAAGAAATTTCTACACTGTGCACATTTTGAGAGAGACTTGAAATGAGCCCCTTCTGGATAGCATAAAGCTGGAATTCAAGGTTTGCTTCTCCACATATCAGAGAGGGGTTTGACTTTCAAGAAGCTCGCATTTGTTTTTGTATTTAAAATCTTGAGTAACTTCAGTAAAATAAATTGCCCCAATAAAAAAGCAACAGGTCCAGAAATTGTCTTGCCAATTGGATAGCAGCCTGACCACACCCATCTCTCCCCTAAATAAAGGGTGGACTATAAGATAAAGACTGAAGAACTGCATGTCTGAGTCATTTTTCATTTGACTTTCCTGATGATTGTCACAGATCTTTTAGAAATTAATTCCAATTGTGGCAATTACCTTATTTATATCTAACAATACAAATCAAGACCTGTTGTAAACTCTAGCAAAACTCCAACTGTGTGCAAATGGAATGGGTCTTTCAAATTAAAAACAGCAACACAAAACAACGGTAAAGTAGAGAGATAGTCTTCCAAAAGTTAATAGGAAATACTTTATCTTAGTTTTGCAATATTGTGTGGAGCAAGTACTTAACTAATTGTCCAACAACAGCAACAACAACAAAAAAGAGAGAAACACTGAGCAGTTAATAAAAGGGCTTTGTAAGTTAACTGCTGTTTTCTGTCAAAATGGACCAAAAGTCATGTAGGAAATTGGATTAAAGTTAACCCACCTATGAAAAGATTTAGTTAAAAAAAGCTAGTTACTCCGTTGGGAGAAGAGAGATTATATTCTCTTAGGGGTTTCTATACTCTGATTCACGGGAAAATCGTTACTAAGATATTAATAACCATTCTTCCAAAAAAGAATCTCATAGACTAGTAAGTTGGAAAATGCTGCATTCTACAATCACCTCTTGGAAGTTCAAAATCTACGTGAGCCTAATGAATCCTCTGAAAATCCCTGTAAACAAGAATTCTGTTTACTATTGTTTGTTTTGGGTTTTCTCTAACTTATTTGAGCATGAAGCAATTCTTTTCACATTGTTAACTGTTATCTGGAAAAACGAGTTGCGCAGAACCCAGTGTGGTCAATGTTAGACTAAAGTGGTACTCTTCTGAAATATTCTTAAACCCCATGTTCCTAATAAAAGAAAAAGTACGTATTTGGATTGGGCTCCAGTAGATTACAAAAAACCTACTTCCTGTATAACTGATCTCGTTATAAAAATGTACTGGACAGATATTTCTAAGAGAATCTTCTACTTCCCGCCTGCAGCATCAAAGTCATGGATTTGTAGGTAATTGAATGGTCACTTAATTTTCTACTTTCTCACTCTTGGTACAGATCTTAGGTTCCTTTATATATCTGCAAAGCTCTGATCTTGGGTTCCACTGACAAGTTCTGGGGCCCTGGGATCCAGTCTCACAAAAGGAACTTCCCCTTGTGGTTTCAGATTAACTCTTTTTTAGATCAAACTAGACCATGGTAGAGACTAACAGCTCCGACCAGCACGTGGCCAAGTTTTCCCTTTAGTAGCCATCCGAGTCCTCATCTTCCCAGAGGATTTGTCTAAGAAGTTGTTGGCTCAGCATTTAGTTCTTAGGTCACCAGTTCTTTGTCTGTGTATATTAAGCATTTTCAGAACAGTATTTAGTCTCTCTAGATATTAAAGCTCTAGAAAGAAGAATTCCCTGACTAGAGCCCCGATGGTCTGAAACCATTGACCCATGTCCCCGAATGTCTGAAATACATGTTGTGTGTTGCTGGCCAGGGACTTCTCCTTTTGCGAATTCTCCTTTTACTCACCTTTTAAACCCCCTTTCATTTTCATTGTGTTCATTATTATGAGCTTTCGAAATATTCTCAAAGTTCGCAAATGCCAACCAAGTGTTGCCAAGACTTGTACTTCCGAGTTCCTGAGGACATTTCTCAGAACTCCTGTTTGCTCAAATTTCTAGAAATTTTGCTGATCACCAACAACTCCCCAGTAGTACAAACACATTCAGAATTTGCTCTAAGGTGGATTCTTTTTTCATTGTTCTGTCAAATCGTCTTCTATTCTCAGTTCTCATAGGAGCCCAGAACTACAACCTTCTATGACTTTTTTTTAAAAAAAAGGATTATTTACATCGCACCTGCACAGAAGCCTGACTTTTTTCATTGTCCAAGACTCAAGGAGGAACAAATATATTTATATATTAGAAGGTACCAAAGAGAAGATGTGATCTTGGAGAAGAGAAATTGAGCAGAGGCCCCTGTAAACTAACTTACCCTGTCGGGATCTCCCTTCATCTGCAGGCCAAGGCATTTGTTTTAACTTCAGGGACTGTGCTCAGAAGCTGTTCAACAACACAGAATGTGTCCTGGGGCTTCCTAGGAGAGGAAAAAATACATCATTTTCAGCTTGGAAGGCTAAGACCTGGCAAAAAGATACAACAGGAGTTTAAAGAAAGGTTGGAGGGAGACACTTGAATCCATTTTAATTATTTTCCCTTTATTACCAATTTTTATAGTTCTCTTCTAGCTGAAGAAAAATCGGAGATTATGCTCTTCTTTAACTTTCATGGGTGTCTTTTTTATACCAGTTCCCTGGGTCCTGCTCAGCTTATATAGCTCCCATGAGCTATTCCACATGGATCTGTGCATGTGAACCTAGTTACAAAACCTTTGGGGCCAAAGCCATTCATTCTACTCAGTAATTAGGCACATGTTTATCATCTTTATTACTGGGATTAAGGTCCCAAAGACACTCCCCATTAGACTAGTACATCACATGCCTGGTTATTTCCATTGACTTGGCAACATGGGCTTTGGAAGTTCCACCCTTTCTGATAAAATCCTTGATATTTTCTGATTGAGGAGTTTTGGACTTGTTCTGCCTTTATGTGTGGAAAGCCTTGAGGAATGAAGTATTAGCTGACTTGTTGATTCTAGAATTACGTCTCTTGGTATTTTGGGCACACTTGACATGAGTCTCAGTTACTCCTTCAAAAGCCATTCTCAGGAGAGCCTTTCCATTCTCATTCCAGCAAAAGTAAGACAGCAGGGGAAGGACAACTTCACAACATGAGTCTGCAAGGTCAAAATGATAGCTGGTTTGCCTTCCCATTTAGCCAAGTTACCCAACAAAAACTGGGTCTAGGGGCCTAAGTCTAGACCTGCAAGGTGTTAGCCAAGTAAACTGTGCTTTAAATGAACTATGATAGGTTTCCAAATCTGAAGTTGGCTTGTCTGTTTGGGGAGCAGTAAACTTAGCTGCAAATGTTCTAAAAAAATGTTTGAGAATTATAACTGCTTATCTTGTGTAAGCTTTTCAACAGATTGCCCAGAATAAAGTATTTGCAGAAAAAAAAAAAAAAAAGCCACAATTAAGAAGTTTGTAAAAAGTTTATTTTTCTAAAACAGGCCTGGAGCTGATGTTCCTCTTTCAAAGTATGGGACTATGATCACCACAAGCCTGCATGTGCCCAGACTGCCCTTCTCCAGTGTGCCAAGCTCTCTAATCCCTCTTCTCCCTTCTTGCCACCATGTCCCTGGAGAACACCCTGAACAGGAGGGAAAAAAGCAGAAATTGCTTCAGCCCACAGAGAAACTAAAGCTCTGGGGTTCCCCCACATCCCTGCCTCCTTTCCTGACACCATATAGAAATGGTCCCTCATTCTACCCTCTGCCTATTTGCCACTGTCCCCTTCCAGCTGCTATCATACCTCATCAAGGAGTGGTCTCTCCAGGGATGGCTTCTTTTCATTGGTACTCAGAAATTCTTGGGTAATTGTTAAACTGAAGATTGCTTTTTAAAAAACCCCTGCAGCCTAGCTCACAGAACACTTTAAAAGTGATTATGTGATTACTATTCACAAAATCACAAACTGACAGCAATCTGCAGGTTAAGTGATTCTGATTTTTTCCACTCTCTCTTCTAGAAGCAGGTGGGTTAATATAATGCCAGCCTTAAATAGAAGCTGTATTTATAGCCTTAGCAGAGTGAGAAAAGAGCTGGCTCAATCAAGAGTCCTGCCTAGTTCAAGGAAGTTTTTACTTTGAATATGCAAAATAGCCATTAGAGGACAACAAAAATGCAAATTTACATCCTACTAAATTGGTTAACTATATCCATTCCAATAAAGTTCAAAAGATACCTTTCTATACTGAAAATGGGTCAGAGTAAAAAAGGTGCCTATTCTACAAGGGCAAACACAAAAGAACAAAAAAAGCAGAAATGTTATTGCCGTGTTAACTTTCTTCATTTTATTACACACCTCCTATTTGAAATTGCTTTAATGTCTTTACTCTCCACTACAATATAATCAATGTAATCTACAGTACCATGTAATTAACAAATAATGATTAAACAAAAGGTTAATTCAGATTTGCAAAAGAAAAATTCTCCCAATCTCTGCCACGTCATGTGTCCAGCTACACACAGATTCATATACACATGTATGTGAGAACAAGAGATAGGAACTGAGTCATGGATAAACCTTGTGTAGAGACTATTTGTAAGAAATCATGCTCTTTTCCTCCCCAGTTATAAAATTAGGTACACCACACACACACACACACACACACACAGGCACTGCTTGATACCCAAGTCAATTGTTGTCTTCTGTTTTCTGTTTGGTGTGAAATGCCCCAAATCCTAAGTAATCAAAAAGTTATTGTTTATATATACATATATAAATATGTGGGGGAGGGTTTTTTTTATGTGTTTAAAATGTAACGGTTTTAAAAGTTGATAAGCTTGAGCAGGAGGGGAAGAAAAAGCGATGTGTGTCTATGTTTTTCTTTAATGTCTTCTATCAAAATCTATTCTGGGAACATCCCATGATTGAAAGCTACTAAACCAACAACCTACAAAACTTTATTTTTTAATGCCTGTTGTCTTGTTTTTGTTCTCAGAGTATTAGTGCTAATGACAAAAGTATAATGATTTAGGTTTGTGCCTCCTTGACTAGTATTATTGATTTGTTGTTGTGGGCATGTTTTTTAACATGTAAAAATAAGTTCTTATTAATATATGGAATAAGTGAAGAAAACAAAGGGCTTAAGCATCTGACATCTCAGTTAAATCCATGGGATATAATTAAGAAATGAAGCATAATAAAAGACAATTGGACCCACATATGAGAAAATAATTCCTACTGAGGTAGGTAGGTTATATGAGCTTCACAGGAAACATGAGGTTATTTAAATATCTTTAGAACTGTTATGAGATCGAATAATCTGCAAACATCTCTAGTCGGAGAAGAGGCAGGCCCAGTAGAATCAGGTTCTAACGCGTGGTGGATGGAGACCCCTCAGAGAGGGATCAGAGGCCAGGCTATCAGGTTCTTCTAGGCAAAATTTCCAAGGGGCCTTGGCTTGACCGGCTGGAAATCCAAATCTAGGTAATATCAACCGCACTATAAAGATATTCTATGTTAGTGAAGACAAATCCTAGATCACTTGCAGAATTATCTCAAATTCATTGACTTGGTTACATGAACCAATAATGACTATAGACAAGACTTTAGGTATGAAATAGACGTGAGCAGGAACTGAAGAGTTCAGCCAGCTACGCATACAACGCCATCGTGAGTTTTCTCCCTGAGTTAGCTTTTACTCAGCCAACTATCAATGATCGAAGACACTGTGCAAGATAGGAAGGCAAGCAAAGAAATAAAAAGAGAAAAATATTTTATCTCATCCTCTGGCAAATTGGCAACAAAGGGAAGAGTAGGTTGTCTAGTGTTAAAGAGGAAAATAATTGAAAATGTGAAAACTACACTTGTGCAATCTTTTTGTTGAGAGTGAAGGTGCTCTCTCCTTACCGTTGTTACTTAAATAGGCTTTAGGGAGATGAGCTGAGTTAGTGATCACCCTATGGTATCATCTACACACACACACATGCATACATACGTACATATCTTGTTAGATGCCTTCCAGGAAAGAGGGAGTGGTAAAGGAAGAAGCACAAAGCTGGCAGGAATGGCACCTAGGAGCCCTATCGGTCAATGATAAGACAGCCTCCAGGCAGCATCAAATATTCTAAATCTGAGACGTTAGCAAGAAATTCACACAATTTCCCCTTAGCTATTCTTTAATTACAAAGTGAAGAGCTTGCAGCCAGAGGGGGTTCCTTCTTGAAGACTCTCTGGTAAGGTCAGAGCTGCTGGGGGTG